TAAAAAAGAGGTGTGTTCAGGCGCATTGTTGGCGCGTTGCTATTTTGAGGAACTGAAAATAGACTGTGCCATAGACCAACTCAAATATGGTCTAAAGTCTGGCGCAATATTTTTTCTTTGTTATTTAAAGAGCGCGTTAGTAATATGCGCCTATAGGTGGGTGCACAACGCGTGTACACTTTGCTTATAACACACACAGGGACGCGCAGCAGCACACAAACATTTTTAAAAATGAAAAATTACATTCCGCCATGTAAATAGCGAACCCGCCATGGCGCGAGCACAACTGGCTTTTAAAGGGGATGGGATATGAGACTCTGATTGGTTTATTGCACGTTACGCCCAAAAAACACCAATTACTCATTAAGAGAATAGGGACAACCCGTTTAGACCATGCGCCCGGGCGCGCCGACCATTTTCCCGTAAACTAGCAAAAGTGGATTCGGACATGTCCTGAGTGCACCTGCGCCGTGCGCTTTAGACCATGCGCTTAGATCGTTAAAATAGGGCCCATAATGTGTAGTTAATAGTTTACACTAACATTAGGCTGCATTACCTTAGAGTTGCCATAAGGGGGGGAAGGTTAGCACGATTCCAAGGGCCCGACATGGGAGGGGGCCATTTATACTTTTCTCTCTTTAGGAAAGTCATAGAAATGGTTTTGTGGTGGTTTTTATTTTAATTTTTTTGCTTTTGAGGCAAACGAAAACATAGAAATACATTTGCTGTATATTCTGTTTACCACTATAGAAGTTTACCCAACTATGATGACTTCCGCTTTGGAGAACCCCAGAAATGTGAAAAAGGTCCATTAGTTGGTCTTTCCAAACCTGCATGACTTTCTTTCATCTGCAGAACACAAAAGCAGACGATGTCCTGATATTAGGGACATTTAATAGGACCACCACACTGCTATTGCTTTTAGGCCTGATGACCCCTTCTTTAGTTGACAATCAGGAATAAGCTTTGCATTTAAGCTTTCACAAATGTAAATATTAAAAATGTCCTATTGTGAAGGAATTATGATCTAAACACACACACACACACACACAAATGTAATGGCTGCTCTGCATTGTATTGCTAGTCATTTTAATTGCAGTGGATCATAATGAGACTGCACATTTTGTATTGCCTGTCAGTAATATTTCTTTTTCTTGTGATATATAGTCCATTTGGGTTTTACAGATTACCTTTGAAATGAGTCATTGAGTTGTTAATTGTTTCAACAGAGCTTTTCTGACCTTTTTGCTGTTATTACTTTTGTCTGTGTTTAATTAGGGGTCGAAAAGACCTTGGGACCAATCACTTCACCAGAAACAAAGTCTAATTAGGAGAAAGGAAAAGGCCTTTTAATTGTATGTCAAAGTCAAAGGAACATTGTAATTAATTATTATATAGTCAAGGAGTCGGGTATTTCTATTTCATAAAAAGGTGTGTGTGTGTGTGTGTGTGTGTGTAACAGATCGGCCAGGCTCCACCGCCACCCAATCACAACGATCCCTCTCACCTGAATTCTGAGCACCTGCACCTGTCACCAATCTAGCACCTCATTAACCAGCCTGCATAAAAGCACACACCGCAAACGCCCTCCCTGTCCGGTCTCGTATACACATAGAGGACTCAATGACTTTGCTACTACGGCCATTTGAATACTTCCTGCATTACTTACCGCCTGTGTTCCTCCTAGTGTCTCCTCGTCTCCTGTTCCTCCTAGTTCCTGGATCGCTGAGGTGTGTGCTCCTCCTGTGTGCATTCCAGCTCCTGTAAATCCAAAGACTCTGATTACTCCACTCATCATATCCTTTGAACTGTTCTACGAACTATTCACTCACCATATCATCATCTGGATCCTACACCCGTACTCTCTGTGACCAAATAAAACTGTTTGTAAATACTAACCTGTTGCGTCAGACCTCTTCCGTTACAG